AAGCCTAAACAAAAATGATAGAACATAAAACGAGTCACGCTATCTGCAATTTTTAACATGTCCAAAAGTGATATTCTTTGCATACCGTTTTGCTTGATCTTATATTGAAGAAATGTGGATGAAAATTAGCGTTGAAATTACAATATTTCTTAGATAAATAATCATTAACTCATTTAAAATATTTTTTGCAAAAAAATGTGTTGATTTAATCATTAAAATATCGAGAATGTAACTTAACTATTCACAGCTAAGAAGTTAGTAGATATAAATTGGATCCTAAAAATCTTATTTGTCTCTTTTGAACTCGTTCGATGATATGAATTCCTCGGACAGCTTAATCAAACCTGCTAAGACAAAATTTAAATCGATCGTTTGAAGAAAGCTGTGTTCCAGTAAGAGTTTCTCATTTGAACGAATTCAGATAAGACAATGTTGCGAATCTTTCATAATATCATTGAATGCGGTAGATCGATATGTTATTGTCAGCTCTTATCTTGATAAAACGGTTGAATTAATATTTGACATGAATGAATTCCCTTATTTAGTATCATTTTATATTAAAAATTAATTAACAAAAAATGGTAACGCTTCCTATCTTGATGAAATAATTCTTCAGACGTTCAATTTAAGGCAAATAACACAATATACATATAAGTTAAACTATTCTCTTTTTCTTTGCTTTTCTTTTCTTAAATAGCTCGCTGATAGTGATACCGAAAAAAATTAAACCTCTATACAGCTCTAACTATTCTCGTCTTGTTTTTCATATCGCTACTAAAAGAGTGACTAAGAAAAGAAAATGAAAATAGTTTTACTTATATATTGTATTAATGGTTTTAAACTGAACGTCTGAAGAAGTATCTCGTCAAGACACGAAACATCATAAATTTTTATTAATTAATTATTAAAATGAAATAAAGCAGAAGAAGAGAATTAATCCATGTCAAATATAAATTCAACTTTCTTATCAAGATAAAAATTCACAAAACTATACAGAAAAAGAATATACATTATACATCATTTTAAGCTATTGGAAAAAAAAACGTGCATCATAGAGAAACCAGAAATTTGATATCTTTGTTCAATATCCAATGAAATTCCCACAATGAAACGAGGTTGTTGAAATTCTGATTTATCAATGAATCGTAATGGAATAAAGCAAAAATACCGATGGAGCTCTATAATTTCGACAATTTGTCTCATTTTACGCCTTTATTTCAACAATCTTTTTATTGTCAAAAGTCGGACGGAAATAAGACGAATTGTTAAAAGTCAAGTGATGAAATTTCAGTTGTTAAGGCTCTAATTTGCAAAAAGAGCCTATTAGATTTCTTCAACAATGCAAGCAACACAGCTTGATGCTAAATGTAATCAGAATGAATGGAATGTTTTTACCATAATGATTTTTAATTTGTATTATAATCGTATTAAATCGGAAGACAGAATAACTCGTATTCTTTTTTATTTATATTATTTTTAGGTTCGTCTATAGTATAATGATAGCTATATAAATGAAGATTCAGATGCTATTAGGTAGTTTATATGGATATAAGGGTGATTCATTATGATATATATTTAGAGAATATTTGTCTCGTATTCTTGTTAGTCGTTGTTTACTATGTATTCATTATTCGAATGATTATTGATTATATATATACAAGACTTGAGAGCATACAAATAAAATTAAATCCTAGTGAAAATTTTCAATCCAAAGAAAATTTCTAAACATAAACTGATCAGAAAAAAAAATGAATAAGCAGGTTTGGCCGAGTTCAACCAGTTTTCAAGGCCGATTTGAGTCCGAATTATTTTTTTTGACATTTTTTCTTGTCTTGTTTATGTTTATAAAGAATGTTAACAACAAGTTAACGTTAATATCTTTTTATATAAAAAACAAAACAAAATAAGAACAGTACGGCATAACATAAAATGATACAACTATTATAGCCTTATTAACAAAGTAAGAGCACTATAATCAACTCTTCTCTTTCATACAGTTTCACAAAACAATAAAAAAAAACATCAATTTTTATAAAAGTGAAGCTAAACTTAGAGTTGTATACAAGAAAAAATTATTTATCGACATTTAATTAAATTAGTCTAAATACATTTTGAAAGATGTTAAGATAAAAGCATAAGCTTGTGGAATAATCTGAATGATACTATCCTACTGAGTGCCTACAATTTTGTCGAATACAAAAAATGTCGATCGCAAATTTGTCGATAAAATTTGTCGATTCGACAAAATTGGAATCCAAATTTGTCGAATTCGACAAATTTTATTAAAAAATGTCGATTATTGTATTATAACATTCCTTTCTATGAATTTCAAATTCAATTATGACCACCTAAAATCTAACTTGAAATCAAGTTGAAATCAAGTTGAAATCAACTTGAAATCAAGTTGAAATCAACTTGGAATCAAGTTGAAATCAACTTGGAATCATGTTTAAATTATGTTGGAGTTAAGTTTATCGAAGAGTGTGGGTACGATTTGATTTTTATTCTAAACTCACACCCACTCCCATACCCACACCTACACCAAGGGGGTTAGTGCAGACGCCTAGCATCCAGCACCTGCTCAGCACCTACCAGTACCTACCGGCACCTACAGCACCTATTAGCACCTGCCAGCCCCTACAGCACCTGTTCGGCACCTATACCGCATTTCACTATGAGCACCTACGGCACCTTCAGCACCTGCAATCATTGTTTCATTATCTTAAGTACTTAAGACAATAGAATAGTTGTTGAAGATGCTGAAAGTGCCGTAGGTGCTCACAGTGGAATGCGGTATACGTGCTGTAGGTGCTGAGCAGGTGCTGGGTGCTGGGTGCCTGCACTTCCCCCTTGCTTACACCCACACCTACACCCACACCCACACCCACCCCACACCCACACCACCCCACATCCACCCTCCAAGTGAATTCCAAGTTGATTCCAAGTTGATTCCAAGTTGATTTCAACTTGATTCCAAGTTGATTTCAACTTG